CTTCCGCGAAAAAAGCTCCGCACCCATTACCACAGGAAACGATAGCTTAAAGGAATCTTTCGCGAATTAAGCTCCGCCCCCATTACCACAGAAAAACGATACCCCTTAGGCCCCTAGCCTCATGAGCATAGCAAAAAGAACGGAACATAAGCGTTAGTTTCGATAATACTAATCCTACACACAAGACAAAATGATCACTCTTTCCGTGGAAGATTCCTTTAAGCCAAGGCAAAGACCTCCATCCCCTGGTTCAAGACCGTTTACTTGGACCATTGCAGGCATAATTGTGGAAGCACCTCAGGATTACATCCACACTACACCGGTGCATATCAAAAGTGTATTTCAATTAAATAATTCCATTGTTGATCATGAGTGCTCTCATTCTTATCTTATTTTTGGAGAACATAATGGAGTGGCTCCCACCCCTAACCGGATTTTCACCTTTGAGTAGCATTAGGAAGAACAAAGATGCCAGTCGATACTGATTTTGGCTCTCATACTATTTCCACATTTCCTTTCCAGTCTTCTAAACTACACTCCGGAAGAAGAAGATCCGAAAGAATTCAATTCACCGTTTTCATCCATTGGACCTCCTAATGCGCTCGATGAGGAACATGCACCGGAAGAAGAGAGCAGAAATTCCGACGGCGAGACGCTTATTCCTGTGGAAAGTGGAAGTGAGTGGGGTAGTAAAATACTTCGAAGCTATTCGTGCGACTGCGTAGGTGTAGCTATGAGATTGAGAAATAGTCAAAAGTATTTAAAATAAAGATTTCTTGTGTTGGGAGCTCATCTCTTCTCGGGAAGGTGGACGCGTTGTGAGGAAGAGATTCTGGACCTCTAGATAAGAGGACGAAAGGCAGTTAGCGAAACGCTGACATATAGCCGCGTTTACAGTTGCAACGCGGGCCACGGGAGCAACGATGAACGGCGTTTTTCACAAGGCCCTATCGAATTACCGCAAGAAAGCATGACTCGTCTGAACCTATAACAATATTTCAACCCTATTTTAGTGGCCGTAACGTTTCATAATAACTCCTTGTGCAAGCTTCGTTGAGCTAGATTTGACTTGTATCCGTGAAAAGCAGTTAGCATACTTATGGGTAATTTTCACCTAACTGCAACATTTACGTGGTGGATGCGATGTCAATGGATTGAACCACAACGAGAAAGATTCATTGATAACATTACTCCCAATGCATACTGTCGTGAAAGGTATTAGAGTTACTCTAATTTCCGGTAGATAAGCCCTCGCTGATTTTTTCTAGAAACACCTGCGCTCGTGCTGTGTAAATTTGTAGCAAAAATTTGCCTATAGAGGTAATTCGATGCCCTGATTACGAAAATGACTTTCATTTTTAGCGGTGGCGCCATCTGGCGCCAGTTGGCGTCACCTTGTCACGACACCTGTTTTCACCAAATTTGGTGTAAACTTCCGTATAGGGGTTATTTGGTGTCCTGCGAATATGACATTCATTCTCGGCGCTGGCGCTATTTGGCGCCTATTTTCTGCTCGTCTGCGCTCTCCAACCGAGAAATATGCGTTGAACAACGTTAATGCCAAAAACTGTCGTTGGAACATTCAATGCAAAAGAATTATGTATTGGGGGCGGGGGGGGGGAGAAAAGTTCACCGGCGGCGCGGACGCGAGCGCGTGCAGCTGACGTCACAGCTGCGGCAACAGCGACGAGAAGATGGACTAAAAGCGTCGCTGCCACTTCGCTTGAATAGTATACGGCTAGCTGGCACCTCACCAACTAGTGCAATAAGTAGTGCCGTAAAGGAAGTGATTGTATTGGGTACAGGTACAATTTTCGCCCTCAAAAAACAGGAATTTGTTTCGCGAATAGAGAGGAAATCAAAGGTTTCGTGTGTGAACTCTAGAGAGTGCGCAGCTAACTCGAGGTTGATTTCAGTAAGTTCATTCTCCTCTACTCGTGCATGGTAAAGTCGATAGTGTACACAATGTTATAAAGTATTGGCACCACCCTTGCTCAATCCCTCGCCGCTGCTGTGACGTCAAAGTGACGTCACCCACACGCGCTCGCGTCCGCGCCGCCGGTGAGCTATTCCATGGAGCCATTCGTAATCAGGGAACAAATAACCCCTATGCAGAAGTTTACACCGATTTTGGTGAAAACAAGGGTCGTGACAAGGTGACGCCAACTGGCGCCAGATGGCGCCACCGCTAAAAACGAATGTCGTTTTCGTAATCAGCATATCGAATTACCCCTATGGGCAAGTTACGGTTGTCTCTAGATGTACGCAAGTGCACTGCATTTATGTGATATCGGCGCGGGCTTATCTGCCGGAAATTAGGGTAGATTCGCGATTAGTTAAAGGATCGGCGCTATCGCAAGATAAGGGGCCATTGCGGTGACAGTGCATTCAACATCACGTAATTATCTCCTTTTTGTCGAAATCCGGAGCACGCCTAAGGCGAAAGAGGCGAGACCCTAGGGTGCGTGAGCAATTTTTATTTTCCCTGATTTTCCTGCCCCTCCAAGAATTAGAGGATGCCCTCATCCCTTGCGATAGCACCTAGATGATCGATTCCCCGGTTGAACCTTTCACAAATATTCTACAGAGAGCTATTCTATTAATTTTGCCGAGCGGTTCCTTCTCACATATTTCCTTGAATGCAGTCACTTCGCACTCCTGGCTTTTCAATGGCTTTTTTAATGCTAGGGTCCATACTTCGCACCTCTACTTACATTTTCAGTAGGCCATACCTATGCTATCATTGGAATCACCTCAAGTGTTTATCTTAAAAGTGGAGCATTTTGGCAAATTTTTAGGGTCTGGGACGGAATTAAAAGTCAAAAGATTCATTATATGTACGTAAAAAGAGGTTCGTGTAATGGAGTGTATTCT